ATGCTTGCCATTTATTTTATTTTGAATAAATGTGCTCTGTGGACATATCTGCTCGCCTTTCTGTAAATCCCAGCAAGTGCCTATCAACACACCTGTGCTGCCAGCTCCTTTTAAAAAACTTATCTTTGATATTGAGTCCTTCAGAGCAAGTACTTCCCAAGAGCTGGGAGCTCATTATACGACTGTAAAGCTACACGTGTACATGAGAAAAAAGAAAAAAAAAAAAAAAAGCTTTATACTTATGGTAGCTGTGATTGCTTTGATTAATGACTTTGATAGCTGCCTCCTGGGCACATACCCTGTGATTTTCTTTACTGATGGGTGATCCATACAATCCAAGTAAAATAACTTTGAGAAACAAAACAAGCCAACAACAAAAAAAACAACAAAAAAACCCACTGCACATACATCATTTCTACTTATTGCTGTTGTAATTATATTCTGCTGTTTAGATGACAAAAATAATTAACCACTAAGTTACATATATTAAACTATAAGAATTCTGTCAGCTCTTAGAGTTCTTCAGATTTACCTAACTTTGTTGTAGTCACAATCTGGCTCCATAAGTGTATGAACTTGTGTGAATTAATCAAACTTGGCTCTGGACTGTGTTTATTACTGACGCTATTACTGTAATATGGAATATTGTTTTATCTCCTACTGAGGAGAGGGAGACTTGCCTAATTTTTAGAGCCCATTCAGCCATTAGGCAGCTAGGCGATATTCAGGCGCTTAGTTTTTGCTTTTATTGGAAAAGAAGTAGAAGTAATACAAGCTGCATAAGTAAAGTAGTGCCTTAAATGTAAGAAAATCRTACATAAAATGATGACACCCCATAGGAATCCTCCTGGTGAGGATTAGGAGCTTTGTGTTTGGTGGAAGAGATCCAGAAGCAAATACACACAGAACCGAGAACTGTCTCATGGACTTCCTTGGGAAATATCTTCCCCTGTCAGGAAGGCTCCTTTATCCATTGGGCTGGAGGGCAGGAGCTCGGGCAGGGGCCTGGCTGCCTGGTGCACAGCAGCACTGAGGAGCTGCCGGGCAACCTAGGGATCAGCAACGGGATGCTCCATCCCAGCCTCATTTACCCTCATTTACTGACAGGGTCCTGTGTCATCTCTGTGCCACCAAAGCTGTTTTTGCTACTTTTCAGCAACTCATACCGGAGCACTTTGACCCAATCCAAGACTGCTGGACTTACGACTGCTGCTCCCAGTCATAAGTATATGGGAATGTCCAAATGATGTCATCCTGGGGAGATCGAATGAAGCCTTCCTGCAAAACAAAAACCACAAAAGGCTGCCTCTCTTCACCCCTGAGGACTCATCATCATTCAGTGATGAACCACTAGGAGTCTGCTGTTCTGTGGCTCTGAAATGGGTGCCCAGTGTCTTAATACATTTCCGAAGTGTTCATCTGCATGAAAAAGAACGGAGGCAAAACATCCCACTTTATGTGAAAACCTAGGAAAAATAACAATAAAAATGGGGAGCACAGAAATTCTAGAGATGAATGTCTCAGAAATTTATCACAATATGATTTACAACAAATAATGTGGTAAAGCTGGTAAATAATAGCAGCAGAGGGGGAAATTAAATATTTTAGGATGGGAGGAGAAGAGAGTTTTTTGAGAAGGGCTGCAGGTGAGATGCAAAGTTAAAGATATGGTGGAGGGCTGCTCCTGGCATTGAGAGGGCTGCTCCTGGCATTGAGATTTGGCAAGGATGCTTAACCCTGGATTTGGCAAGGACATTTAGCCAAAGAAGGATCCTGAAAACTAATCTTAATTTCCTATTTTAAGTCCTTCTTCACTTGAAAAAAATCTTCCTCCTCTGCAACAGCTGGTGAAGGAGGAAGGCCGGGTACAGGGATCTAATCCAGGTGTGGACAAGCCTCGCTGGGATGGTCTTGGCCTGGGCTCAGCAGTGGGGAGCCTGTGGGGTCCCTTGTGGTGCGAGAGGGCAGCGCCCGCTCAGCGGGACCGCGTGGGCCTCACGCCGGGGCCGCCCCGGGCGGAGGCGTCGCGGCGCCGAGCGCGAGGGCCGCGAGGGCCGCGAGGGCCGGGGGCGCCCTGAGGGGCCGGCGCTGCCCATGCCCGGCAGCTGTTGGGCTGGAGGCCGCGGCTGCCGCCACATCTGCTCTCACCGATCCGGTTACCGCTTCACGTGGCCGCCTCCTGCGTTCGGGGCCATCTGACTAAGTTATTCCTACAGCGAAACCAGAGCGGCATGGAAAACTGGGGAAGGAATCCCATTTTCCTGCGCTTTTAATTACAAGGAGTGTAGGAAGCCAGCACATCACCCTGAGTGTTGCAAACAAACGCGCGGCTGTAAGCGGCATCAGTCCTTACATTTGTTTCCCTAGACGAGACTGGTGAATTTGGCTTTATCTGCACAGGCTGAACTTCATCATTCCAAGACATAAATACTGACTTTGTCAAGGGCCTGAATGCGGCAGCGAGGACTCCGCTCCTGGCCCTGGAGCACAGACTAATAGKCACTGTGAGGTGCCTCTGTGCAGCCTCAGCTGCGAGATTTGCAAGTGAAAATAACACAATAACTGTGAATAATATAACTCTGTGCCTAGAGCATCCTTTTTCCACAGTGCTGCCAGTGTTTTATGAACGTTCATCCAGATTCATAATCAGTTGTTTTCAACGGACAGAGCAAAGGAGTTGGAAACCGAGTAGAGGCTGCTGCTGAGAGTGACTGTGCAGCCAAAAAGCTCCACTAGGCACCAGGACATCCTTGTGCTTGAGCACTGGGAGATCTGGAGCCACTGACACGTGTAATGTCACTCCAGTCACATAAATATTTAATACATTTCTGGAAGTTGTTTCACCCTGCAGAAATTTACATTAAGAATACTGCTTTTTGTAGTTTTTCCTAAAAGCATCAGTTTCATGTTTTGGACCTGTGATACCGAGCTACGCAGATATTGGTTCTTGACTCTTTTGTTTACAGCTGTTTTTATATTCTATTACATATATATTGGTTCAGTCTTGCTTGTTATAACTCTATATTTCCAAATTACCTATTACAGGCAAAAAAAAAAAAAAAAAAAAAGATGAGTATGCAAAATGTGTGGGTTGGAGGACAACTAGCATAGAAGTGCTATCTGAGTGTTAGCAAAAAGAGTGGTACAAATTAATGAATAAAACCGCTTAGTCCAATGTGGTTTTTGACCATAAAATATCATTTTATTGCTTGCTGCACAATAATTTAATTACTATTGTGAGTTATTATGTTAGGATTTTACTGATATTTTTACTGATAACACTAAAAGCCTGCAGTGGTACCAGCTCAACTATTAGGATTTTTTTTCTGCAGCCTGGGCACAGCTCTTGGGCGAAGCTTTGCTTTCTTGTTTTTTTTTTTTTTTTTGTTATTTGTTTAGTAAATAAACACTTTGAGTGCAATACAGAAGTTTTAGACAGTATTCCTGAGAACAGAATTGCACTCCTAGTCAGTTTTGAACTAGTCTGAATAATACATATGTGCAGGTTTTGGTGCAGAAAACCTACCAGGTCAGAGCCACTGATGAAATTCAGGAGATGGGAAAGACTCAATTTAGGGATCAGTTTCACATATGAAGATATGAATCGCTGTCAGCATTGTATTTTTGTCTGTAATATTTATTTATGGCAGCCCCATAACCTTATATTACTATTATTAACTTATATACTAATAATTATTAGTTAATATTATTAACTTATAAATTAATGACTTACATTACCATTTGTTTTACCATTACTTATTTCTACAGCTTGTTAATAACCCTCGTGATGAGCCCTATTTCAAATTTTTCTGTGTATTCTTTATTTACCTGGGCTAAAAATGGAATAAATGCAGATATCACTGCTGCTATAAAGGCAGCAAGACGCTCCACGGAACGGTGGGAAAAGGCTGTTCCGGAAATAATCCCAAGGTGAGGGATACCAGGATGGCACTTCCCGCCCCGCCGGTCTCTGGCTCCCGTGCTGCACTTGGCCTGCACCCAGCAAACCGGCCCACAGCTCCCATTTGGAAAGGGCTGTCGCAAGTTGAGGCAGGTTAATTTAGGCAACAGGAACTTTAAGAAGTCACTGCCTTTGGACGCCCATGCACACGCCTACTTCTTTGTCCATAGATATATAGTATTACATGTACACTGAATTACTTAAGATTCTGTTCATAACATAAACTAGATAAATTTGAATTTTGTTTWTATTATGGAGTTAGTTAGTTTTATTTATTTATTTTAAAGGCAGGCCTAAATAACACTAATTGTTCTGCTACTCATTTCCAGAGTTCTCTTTTTCATCCACCTGTTGAGTCTTGTAGTCACTCATGCTGGGGCAGGAGCTACTTTGATGTATTTTATCAGGGTTTTAGTGCAGTGGGGCTATCATTCTTGCCTGGAACCCCTAGGTCTTCAGAGCTGGAGGCAGCACAGATGAGATTGGGGAGGAGGAGGGATTTATGAACCCTCTGTCTCTTGAGTGCCAGCAATGACCATGAGAGCTACTGCCTCTGTCACCTCTAACCTCAATAGTCCCCTTAGATTGTAGATATTCTGGGTGCTGTAGGTGAGTTACAATAGTTTGTTCATATTGCACTGTGGAAAACACAATGCTATTACTGAAAACAGGACAATATTCTCTCTATTCCATTTAATACACAGTAAGAAAGAGACATTTTGGAGTCTAATACCTTACAGGAAAAGATAGTGACCTGGGAACTTATGTCTCTTAAAATATAAATCTGACAATGACTCACTCTGCAACTCTACATACCCCTCATATTTCAGTTTCCCAGTCTGTCAAAAAGGGAGATTAATACTTAACTTGCCTTTAACTGCAGTGATGATGCAAGAATTAATGACCTACGTTTGTGGAGAGCACTGCAAATGTGGCCACGTTGCTCCTCTGGAGAGTATGGAAGAGCTGTTGCCTTGTCTTGTCCATGGGTTACAGTCACCCCCTCTTCAGAACGGGAATGGGACCCAGCACTTCTCCYCAGCTGCTTTTCCTGGCCGGCTGAAGCCCAGTCAAGGCTCTGGAAGACGCAGTAGGTAGACAGAAACGGTGTGGTTTGGGGCAGGAGGTCCCATCCCTCTTGCTGCCGGGCCTGCCGGCTCGAGCCTGGCCGCGGGTGCTGCTGCGGTCACGTTTCTCATCTTCTGTTTTGTTAACACGACGACTCACTGGCTGAGGCTATTAAGGAATTACAGCTGCCCCGGCAGAGCTCAGATATCTCTCCAAATACAAGTTTTAAACCTTTATATTTAACCATGGCTGCTCACCCAGCTTCCGTGGCTGTGCTTCCTCCTGACCTGCCTCTTCCTCGGGGATGGGCAGCCCTGGGCAAGGCTGTGCCCCAGGCCGAGGCTTCGGCACCCGCGGAAAGGGAGAATTTGTCGGCATGAGCTTGTYGTGCTGCTGGCAAGCAGCAAAGTACAGGCAACAGATCAGCTTGTTTCTGGCTGAATTATTAGGCCAAACCACGGCCAGTTCTTCCCATGGATTTATAGGAGTGAAGGAGTTAGAAATCTGAATTTTGCGTACAGCAGCAGGGCTTGGCATTTCTTCCCATTTGCATTACTCAAGTGCCTTTACACTGTTTCTATTAGCTCACATTCTACATGTATTTCCTGTGAGCTCCTTGTAGGCTATACATGTTCATATATTGTCCACACAACTTTAGTACAGTTCATTAGTACAATAAAGGTTAAAGTCAGGCTCATTTGCAAAACAGGTGGAGTAAGTCTGGGTGATGTATAGAATTTTAAATTTATTTTTAGAGTTTTAAGTTTATGGTCYGTGAACCCCTGAGGCCTCTCCTATCCCTTCAAACAGCAACTAAAAAAGCTCGTTATTACCAACAGGTTTACAATTTTTCATGCAGGGGCCAATAATACCACTGATACATTTTTAGGRGTCTACTCACCAAAAAACATTGAGACCTCTAAACCCACGATACYGTTTACTGCCTGTGAACTGTGGGTATCATGCTATCAAACAGAGATAGTCCACAASGAGAAACACCCAAGAAAGATGAAACTGTTATAACCTAAAATTAATCTTTCTGTAGTTAAGCTTATGTAATTTCATGGTTATTGAATTACAGAATAGAAAGWAATGAGGAAAATGCCTAGGGACAGAGTACAATTTTGGTGATAAGAGATTTGGGGATAATAAAATAAAAGAAAATGATTAGCATGCCCACCTAAATATAGGTTGAGAAAAATAAATTTATTGCACATTGCATACATTTTGACAAAGTTAAAAGTGTGTACACATAATTAACTGTCTTGGAGACTTTACTTAAGTGACAAGAATGAGATCTGCTATTCTGTAGCTTCCGTTTCAAGCTGTATCATCATGTCTGTACTTGAAAAGTATCGCATCTGTTAACAGTTCAGTCGAAAAACTTGACTATGGTTGGCCAACCTTGTATAAGCTGCAATTTGATACCCAATTTGCCCAGCTAGATAAATATTAACAAGCATGCAGGCAGTGGATCAATATTGTAATTTCTTTTTGCCCTGTCAGGCTGCCACCAGTCAGCAATGTGACCTTTCTTACCCATCTCTAAGACAGCTTTCCTCTCAGCAATTCACCAAAGAGAAGGCTGGGGCAGGTAACTTACCCCCTCCTCCAACCCCCGGGCAGCAGAGCATAAACGTCCAGTGATCTCGCATCCCGTTGGGAAAGGATTCCGAAAGAAAACTGGAATGGTTTTCTTTCACAGAACAACGCACGATTACTCAATTTTATTTGTACGAGGCTGTAGTGCTACTGTCCCTCCTTCCTCCCCCTCTTTCATAACCCCTGCTGAAAATGGACTTTCCATTTCCAGTGCAGACCTTCCCAGGTGCCCCCTTTCCCTCGGCTGCTCCCGGCTCCGGGATCGCTCACGGCAGGCGCTGCTGCCGGTGCTCCATGTTCTTTCAGGCTCCTCAAGCTGCAAAACTTTGCCAGGGTGAATCACTCTGCTTTCTTATTACCGTGTGGAGAAGCAAGCTGAAACTTGCCGTTTGCAGGGCAGCTCTCATTTTGTTCTCTATGCTGTTTCTCTGCACTTGGCTTCCAGAGCTCAGTTTTTTTCTCTGATGCCAGCTCTGCTTGGACCCCAAAATGGACCAAATAAAGTAGTTATTCCTCTTTTAAACTAAAACTTTTAATCTAAACAAACTCTGAAAACTGGTGGAATTCTGAAATTCAGGTTACTGCTCCGGATATTTATTATCTATAATTATACTTTTTTTTCCTTTTTTTTTCTGTAATTTTTGCACCYTTCTGGCTGACATGAACAGTCAAATGCAGTGCTGTGGGTTATTCCACAGTTTGACTGAGAAACTAGTGATGAAATCAGGTGTGTCTGTGGCACAGTCCTGCTTGTTTGTAATCACAAGTCCTGTTTCCATTAGTGTAGGGTAGATCTTAAGCAGCAGCAGTTTCACRGGCCTAAATCCTTGTCCAGGCTCACTCAAGCCTGTTTGTGAGCCTTTTTCCCTGCCAGGTACCCCACCTATGTCCACATTGAGATGTTCTTGATTGCTTGGTCTCTCAGCTTCATGATGTTTCTCTTCCTCTGTTAGACACATCAGACATCACAAAGTCATACTGGGGAAACTTGTCCTCTTACAAGTGTCTCTGTTGCAGATGGTGACATGTCTAATGGAAACTGCTGACCCCGAGAGGGGTTGATGCTCCTCTTCAAGCTCCCACTACTTCATTGCAGATGTTCTTACAGGCAGTCAGATGGGAAATTGGTCCAGCACAATGGATAGGAGAAGTGACTGGAAGGTGGAAGATGAAGATCAGTGTTTGTGTTGCTTTTGGTAGAAGGATGAGCTTTTACCAGAGAGATAATTGTCAAGAAGGAGCAAAGTGGTCCTGTCAGCCTCCAAGTTCATGGTTTTCTCTTAACTGCAAGAAAAAAAAATGGAAAAACTTGAGATAAAATACTGAGATTTGTGGCATGGAATTGTGGTATTTTTCTCAAGGAAAGGTCTGCTTCACCGTCAGCTGAGAATAAAATAAGGAAAAAACTTCTGGAAATTGACTGTTGAGAAAGTCTGAGGCTGGTGGAAGTTGGAAGTGTGGAAGGGATTAGTGGGTGGCTCCGGGAGCAAAGGGCTGGGGCTGGAGAAGAACTTCTGCCCTGCAGCGAGGGCAGGGCTCCCGGGACGTGTTGCAGTTACTCTTTGCTAGGCAGTGTAATCTTCAGAGCAGACATTCAACTAGAAATGGGAGCCTGAGCCTGATGGGTTGGGGACAGCAAGCCAAACTTCCCTGCAGTGCAAAGGTAGATCGGGGTGCCATGGGCAATGGTCATCTCTTGCCATTGTAGAAAGCTCCCATGGGAAGTTCCTATTGCTATTCAAGTGCTTTTATAAGTCAGAGGTGTTTGCACTGAAGGTTTTGTTCTGGTCATACCTTTACTTGAAAGGACCACCAACCTTTACTTGAAAGGACCATCAGCTATGACTGATGAAATAACTAGCTCTGAAATTTCTTATATTTCACTTTGACTATGATAATTTCACTATTTCAGCTTTGACTGAGAATCCCGGACAAGAGCAATGGCAGGTTGTTGTGTTGGGGCTGGTGGGAGCTACATGTCTTAATAACAGTGCCTCCTCTGTCCACACTTAAGTAACGTCTGTAGAGTTCCATAAAATAGACAGATATGATATTTCATTGGTTTAGTTAAGGGTTAGCTGTACTTGTTAAAATAGTTACTATGCAGCAAACCTAGAAGTAAGTAGAGTTTTAAATAACTTTCATCTCTCTAGTTAGTAAGATAGCACTCTAGGTATTTTTCCTGTATATTTCCAGAGACCATAAATACTGAAAAATACTTCTCTRTCTGATGAAGCCCTTCACCAGACTGTATAGTGCTGAATGGGTTTGTGCCACATCCTCCCATAACAGAGTTAATAGCTTCCCAGTTGTGATACAGTAGGAAGTTGGTTGGTTTCTTTAGTCACAACACTAAAGATACATAGAATAATTCTGCTTACATGGGGTGCTGACTCCACAGCAGAGCGAACACACACCAGCACAGTGATGCTGTTGATATTTTTTCCTCTCTAGTACCTGTTCTGTGAATAAAAATGAGTTTGTCTAGTCATTTAGCCCTGCAAAACGAGTGCTAAAGGTTATTACATCAAAACTCCCTAGTCAAACTGGCAATGGTGATTTACAGTGTGTTAGTGTAGGTATAAATTACCACGCAGGAGAAATCTGGAGAAACATCTTCCATGTCTGATAAGTCTGGCACCTTTCAGCATCACTAAAATTGCTTCCAGCCTCCCACACACTGAGGTTGTTCTCTACAATTAGTCCCACTAGAGTTGGTGAGACGTCTCCTGATTACGCTGATGACCAAGGTAGAACTTATCCTTTTGTATTTACAGATCCCAGGGTCAAATTCCTCTTGCTCCCACTTGTGCAACTCGTGTTTGGCTGCCCTGCTTCATGTTGCTTCTGTGGGCAACATGATTAAAGGGCAGCTTTACCTTTTCTGCATCATCTGAAGACATTCCAGGAGACCACAGAAGACTGTGGCTCCTTGCGGGAAGGATCATCCTCAGCTGTGGTGATGAGAGGCAAGAAAGGTYGTGAGAAGGATAAACTGATGAAGGAGGAAAGGCTACATTAAGGCAAGTGAACAGAAAGAGAAATGGTGGCAGGGACGGGAAGCTCAGGGGCAGCATTAAGGAAAGGAGGCCCCCTCACACGCTTCACATACATACAAACGTGGCCTTCATCCCTCTCAGCTGYGTGCATGCATGCATAGGGATGAGGTATTTTAGGAAGCAGCTGTGAATTACTGAGGATATCATGGATCAGTATAAGCAGAGAGGAAAAGCAGAAATAAAAAGAGGAAGGAATATCAATATTACACAAGCAAATCTAGAAATTCTTCCAAAAGYTAAAAGAAACGGATGAAAGTAAGCTCTGATAAAACAGCGAAATTTTATTTCTTGGGGTAAAGGCTAGGGAAAACTGAACCCTATGATTTTAGGACATCTAAAAAGGCATAAAACATATCCATCACATAAGAATTCATCATGTAAATATATATATATAAGAATTAGGACTAATACATAAGAATTAAGATGCGAGAGATGCTATGAATAAAAAGCTGGGCAGAATATATGAAATAGTTTTAAAATGATATTCAGGAACTCAAATATATCGTCACTGCAAGAGCAGATCAAGTTCTGATAATTGCAGGGTGCAAAACATGGTGCCTGGAAGTATAAAACTAGGTAAAAGCTACACATGGGTGTTTCTTGTTTGAGAAAAAAAAATAAAACAGCTGCATCCGTAGAAAAATCTGAACAAAGATGGAGAATTAAACTGGAATTTCTCAGAGAGAAAATACTGAGGCACACAGCTTCTGCTGAAGGTATTAGTTTACTCGGCTGCCTAATGGATACTGCTGAGCAGTGTGCCTTGTGGCAGGCAAATAATTCAAAGCAAATATTAGGAGGTTAAGTACTGTCATAAATCACATAGTGCAGGGGCATTCACGTTGCATATCTTATACTTTTGTCCGACTAGGAAGAGAAGCAGATATTTTTTTTTAAAAAAAGATGACAACACATGCACATAGGAAAGTATTCAAATTAACTAGTTCTCCATGAGTTTTTAAGCTTAGATAGCTGGACTAAGAGTATTCTGCCCTCTTTCTTTCTTTCTTTGTATAAAAAATCATCAAATACATGTGGCAAATCTTACTACAAGCCATATCATAAACTGTATTTATTTTTTGATACCTGATAGGTGTTCCAGTATCCAGTATTGATACCTGATAGGTGTTCCATATCTCAGTACGTGAAAATATGCAGAAATAATCCCTTCCTCAAATGAGTACATTGTGAAAAAAAAACATTAACCCCTTTGAAGAACATTGCTAGTGGAAAAAAAGATAAAAATAAAACGTCCAATTCTTCGCTTACAGCTATGAACTCAGAAAAAAAAAAGAAAAAAAAAAGAAAAAAAAAAGAAAAAAGAAACAAAACGCAAAGAACAGACAGCATAAGGCAGGGGTCAAGGATTCACTAACAAAATCTGCTCTACATCTGTTACGCAATGAGTGTTTAGTGTTTCCCAAAACAACGTGGCTAATAGCATAGATGTATAAAAGCATTTTGAAACCTTATCCTTTATCTGAATCGTGCAGTTCAAAGATGTATAAAAAGCTTTCCCCTAGCAGATTGCCTGTCTGCCTAAGGTCCCCCAGCATTACTAAAATGAGCCAGGGTAAATATCAGTTATTTACCTTAGAAGGTAAAAACAGACAGACTTTACCAATAAGACGAGGCCCCCTGAAAGCAGGTGGACACTGAGCAGGTCCCCTCGGGTCAATGTGTCCCGTGTCCCTTGCTGCATGCTGTGTCCCTTGCTGGATGTGTCCTGTGTCCCTTGCTGGATGCTACTGCTGCAGGCAAGGACCAGGCATCAGCAGAGAGCAGCTCTCAAAGCCCTCACTGTGCTTAGGTAAATCGGCCACTTCAGGTTCCCCTCACACGCTGAGATCTGAAGTACAGTGACTCAGACTCTGCAGTTTGGCCATTTGTGACGAGAGGTCAGCAACCTCCAGGAGAAAAGTGAATAAACAGCCGGGCAGGGCAAACTGTCTCTGTGCAGCTTCAGTGTGTCTGTGTCCAGGGCAGCTGGGCTTTGCCGCGGTGCGGGCTG